TCAAGCAGAGATCTCATCCTTTCTGCAAGATATGGGAGTTTCCGAAAATAGGGGACCCTACTATAGTACCCCAAATAGGAGGATCCTTATTATAAGGGCCCCAAAATAAGGTACTCCCAATTTTCGGAACCCCACATATAGCCATCAAGCCATGCGCACTGGCAGGAGGCAGGATTCTTCTCTGCCAACTTTGCGAAGAACCCGGAACCCCTACACCTAATTTGGGAGTTTCCGAAAATTGGGGGTACCTTATTTTGGGGTCCTTAGAATAAGGATCCTACTATTTATGGTGCTATATTAGGGTCCCCTATTTTCGGAAACTCCCATTTCCCTGCGCACACACACACACAGACACACACACACAAACGCAAAACCCGTAACCTTAAACCACAATTCCGCGTCCATCTAAACCCTAAAGCCCAAACTCTAAACCCTCTGGCCCAAAACGCTTCTCACAAATTCCTAAGAGCACTAAATGAGTCCTCCACGTCATCTGCCAGGGCCCAGAATGCATAGTGTCGAACCGCCTGCGAAGTCGGATTTGGGTTGGGATTAGGGTTTAGGGATTAGGGTTTCGGGTTTAGGGACTCCTTTAAGAGTTCCTTGTGGGGCTCCCTCTAAGTCTTCAAGGTTGCTTCAGGGACTCCTTTAAGGTCTAAAATGCTGGCTCTAGGTTATAAGGGCTACTACAAGGCTGACAGGGAGTGAATGGGAGTGGGGATTTTATGGTACGGTTAGGGGCTCTGTACTATAGGGGTAAGGCTTAAGGTTTTAGGGGTCAGGTAGGGTGAGGGTTGTCGGGCTTTCAGGTTTAAGTTGATGTGGGTTTCGGGGTGACTTTTCAGGGATCTCCAAGGGTTCTATAAGGGTTCCTTTGAAAGGGTTCTATATAGGTGCTGGGAGTTTAGGGATTTAGGGGTTTTGGGTTTGGGGGTTTAGGTCGGGTGATGTGGGTGAAGGGGTGAGTTATAGGGTGGACGGATTTAGAGTTTGAGACCTTTACGGTTTAAGGGTGAGGCACGATTCAGGGTTCTGGGGCTTAGAGCGAAAGCTTTCGGATTTGAGTGGGGTTTGGGTTTTGGGTTGTCTGCTTCAGTGGACGGGCTTCCTAAAGGAACACTACTTAGAGGATAATGGGACTCAGTAAGAAGGTCATAAGTACCTAAATTGGGGTTCTAAGTAACTATAACTCTAGTTACCATATGAAAATAACCCTAGTTACTAAGTCCCATGACCCGTTAAGTAAGGAACAGTATGTGTATGATTCAGGCCCCTGAATTCGGCGCCTCAATTTGCAGGTGCAGGGCTGAGCGAGGAGCTGGCTGACAATCGGGATCTTTGCAATAAGAGGGTAGGTCAAGGGTTTACCTAGACCCCACAGGTGCCCTTTAAAGGGCTGTGATATTTCTCATTAAGAGGTAATTCGGGGCTACAATACAGAGTAGTTGGGGGGTCTAGGTAGGGGTTTAGGGCTAAAGGTTTAGGGTAAGCCCCGAAGCCAGAAACACAAGCCCCGAAGCAGAAAAAAACCCTGAACCCGAATACACCCAAAGCCTCGCGGCACACCTGAGAAACCCAGCGAACCTTGTAAGGACTGCACACACACACACATGGGAATCCGGTCTCTGCCAGTTGTCTCGTAGCATTCCTTCTTTCGCCCTTTCTGTGGATACTTCTTGTCTCAGCTGCAAAAAGTCTTCACATTTAGATTATCTTGAGTTCGAATGCCAAGGCCTCGGAAATCTTCTTTGGTTCCAGGTTCATCTCCAAGACATGCATACATTAGATGAGCGCCACAATTGATTGTTTGAGTCTCAAGGCTCAAGCTACGTGCAGGTACGTTTTCAGCTCTTGTCATTGGCCTCTTCGTTGGCCATCCACCAATGACAAGAGGGATGGCCCCCTGCTTTTCTTCACAAATAATGTTACGACTCAAAATCCTTGGAAACAGGAGTTGCACACACACGATCTCAGTAGGACCGGTTGTCAACAGAACAACTAGACAAACAATTGAAATCACAACTGAACCTGCAAGACAAGCCAGTAGTGATCTCGTACATCTGGGCCAAGTCTTTATGCTCAAAGACTTTCGATGTGCTCCTGCATCTCTTCTTTCCATTGTGTTGTCGTCGTTTCTTTTCTTTTGTCGTCGTCGTCGAGCTTTTAATAAACTAGTACGTATTGAACTGCACCCCTGCTTCTCTACAGCCATTTACGACTCAAGATCTTTAGATACAGGATTGCACACAAACAATTCCGATTGTAAGCGGCTGTCAACAAAGCAACTAGACAAGCTGAAGCAATAAAGACAGAATCTCCGAAAAAAACAAGCCCCTTAAGATCATACCTTCAACGACAACAACAACAACGACGCGAACGTGCTAATGACAGAAGAAAGCAAACGAGCACCAACAACGACGACGACGACCGAACGACACAACAATCAACACCACAATAACTGTGGCTGAAACATCTACACGAACGAAAAAGACGGTGACAAACGAGCAGGAGCAACGCAGGAACACGACGACGACTGAACGAAGAACAGTAATAGCAACACAACAAGCGCCTTGCATCTCGCCTTCCGTCCTCTTGAGCACGAATGCTACTGATGGATATAAGATGAAGCGAGACGAAATAGTACGAATGCTGAATCAGCTTTGGGTGGCGATCGAAACCTAGTCACGACATCTATAAAATTCAAATGATGATGAAGGCTAAAACTACTCGTAAAACATCTACTTCACTACAAACGTACAGGCCTCGAAGGCCTACGGACGCTGGGTGCTTGTTGGGTGGCGAACGGACGGATCATCATCTTCAGCTTGGGTAAAATTCGGATGCCATCATCAGCTTAATTCGGATCGCATAGAGCGTTGGATCAGCTTGGGAACTGCTCAGCAGAAAACTGTCAAGACGATGGATCAGCTTTGGGTGATCATTATCAATGAATGACCTTGGGGTGACCTTGGGTATACTTGAGAATGCTTGGGTATGCTATGACACAATAGTCTGATACACCTGCGGGCAGACATATCAGAGATGCTTGGGTGCTTTCTGGTAGGGGTATGCCTGGGAGTGCGTCAGCCTTTAAAGAACGTTGGGTCTTTGCGAAGTAGTCTGGTTGCAAGCCAGAATTGAATCACTTCATTTGGGTATAATTCGGATGCCCTGGGTGTGCTTGGATGGGTCGCAACTGCAACCATCACGACTGGCCCATTGTCAGAATTACCAGCCGAACAACACACATGGAAATCCGGTCTCTGCCGGTTGTATCGTAGCATTCCTTCTTTCGCCCTTTCTGTGGATACTTCTTGTCCCAGCTGCAAAATCTTCACATCTAGATTATCTTGAGGTCGAATACCAAGGCCTCAGAAATCTTCTTTGGTTCCAGGTTCATCTCCAAGACATGCATACATTAGATGAGCGCCACAATTGATTGTTTGAGTCTCAAGGCTCAAGCTACGTGCAGGTACGTTTTCAGCTCTTGTCATTGGCCTCTTCGTTGGCCATCCACCAATGACAAGAGGGATGGCCCCCTGCTTTTCTTCAAAAATAATGTTACGACTCAAAATCCTTGGAAACAGGAGTTGCACACACACACACACACACACACACTCAGGAAGCACCAGAACCCAAAACGCCGAACCGTCAACCCTTGACCCTCAGAATGGCCCTTCTAGCACCCCTTACATTCAAGGAACCCTGAACGGAAGCCTCCTGCGAAGAGAGCCTCTTCCACTCCGGACAGATCCTTGCTTGCAGAAGGATCGTTCAAGGGATACTTTCCCAGACCTCCGGGAGGATCCAAAAAGTAGATCCCTTTAAAGTACCCTTAGTAATAGTATTATTGTAGGGCCCTAAATTAGGGGATCTACTTTCTAGATCCTCCCGAGGGTCTGAGTTAAGCGGGATTACCATGGGCTCTGAGGGTTGCTGCGACGTTTGTTTACTACAAAGTTTGCGAGTTTGGGGGCTCCTTCATGACTTCCTCGAAGGATTCTGTAGCGGCACCAGAGAGATAAAGCGTAGTGCTTCAGGTCTAGAGATTTAGCATGTATAGAAACCCCAAACCCTGCCTGGACCCTACAAAACCGACCCTTTTCAGGACTCATACAAGGAAATCATAGTAAGGAACCCGAAAAAGGCAGGTCATTTGGGTTAAGGTAAAACCCTAAACGCTAAACCTTAAACCCTAAACCCCAACATGTAGGGTTTGGGGGGTTCGCGGATTCAGGTTCCAGGATTCTAGAAGGGTCCCTCTAAGGGTTCTATAAGGGTCCCTTTAAACGTTCCATCAGAGTCCCTTTAGGGGCCTGATAAAATTGAAATAGGGGTTTGGGCGACTTCGTAATAACACAAAAGTTAGCGTATCAATGAACTCAACGAACCAAGAATCCAGAAGTGGCACTACGAAGTATTCCCCCAAGGCCTCAAATGACCCGATAATCAGGTACTTCGCTGGCGCAGGCAGGTCTAAAAGGGGCTAGGGTTTTGAGTTTTGAATTTAGGATCCCGAAGGTCCGAAAGTGAGTGTAGCTATAGCTACAGGCGACGCCCTGCATATCAGTCCAGGAACTGCAGCGAAAGTCGCGGGAGCCCTAACTATTTGCAAAAGGTAAGAGTTTGGGGAGGTTAGGGTTATAGGGCCTTTGGGGATAAAGTTTAGGGTTCGGGCTTCAGGGCTTGTTTTTTGAATGACGGGATTGGTGATTGGGCTAGGGGGTTCGGTCTACTGAGGGCCGCGTTGGGTACAGCGATTGGGGTATGAGCCGGTATGGGTGTGGAAATAGGTATGCAATCTTGAAGAAAGATGCAGGGTCATGTAATAAAAATACTGCTTTTAGTATTCTCTCGGGTTTTATATGAATAAAAATGAAGGATAACTCTAAGGATACATACTATAGTTGAGGCGACCCTGAACCCAAGATAAGGGCTCAAGACGGAAAAGCAACTTGTTTTCAGCACCTCCACAAGCGCTCGAGCATGCTACGCTCCCGTCACCAGTCGTGGAATTCCTGCGCTCAGATTGGGGATTTGAGGTCTCGTACTGGTCGTACCCCTTGAACAAAACCCTTACTTGAGGAACCCCAATTCTGATGCTCAGGTCCCCCTACCCGTACCCCAGACCCGTTCCGGTCAGTCCCGCTGCGGGTCGCGAGGCAAGCGCATCATGGCCAACACCTGCTGGCAGTACCTGAGAGTTTCCCGAAAACTAATTATGGTTTAGGGTTTGGTGCTTTCCGTTTTTAAAGGGCTCGTTCTTGAGGGCTTCGGTTTGGGATTTGGGTGGGTTTAGGGCCTGGAGGTTTAGGGCTTGAGGCGTTCAAAGTCTAGACGTTGATGCAAAACTCCCCTTGCTCTTTGACAACTCAACACGCACTGCCAATACCCTAACAAACTCTAAAGCCTCCCTAAACCCGAAACCCCAAACCCCTAAACCCTGCCTCCTACATCCTAAAACCGAAACCCTCAACCCATGGTCGAACCTCCCTGCGCTCTGAAGGATGAAAGCTTGAACGACGTGGGTGGTTGTCAAAATTATGGTGCCGCACTAAATTAGGGACCCAAAAAGGGATCATAATTTTGACAACCACCCATTTGGAGTTTAGTTTATAAGGCTTTCGGGTTTAGGCTCTAGCGTTTAGGCTCTAAGCATCTCTAAAGCATTACGGTTTGGGTTTTAGGCCTGTGCTTTAGGCTTTAGGTTTGAGGCTCTTTAAGGCTTAGGCGTTTGGGTTTGGGATTTGGGTTTAGTGTTTAGGCTTTGAGATTTAGACTTTGGACTTTCGGATTTGGAACTAAGGCCTCAGGGTCATCAGGACGCGGTGTCGAAGTAGCAGAGGAGTCCGGGGTGTTGGAATTCTCAGGAGTTTCCTGGTTTTTTCATTTTTGAAGGCTTAGGGTTTAGGCTTTAGGGTCTTCTGGGACGTCAGGCCTAGTGACACCCTTATTGGGACGCTTGTAAAGCCAGAGAGCTGCCACTCTGCGCTCGCCTTGTCGGATCCCGTCAAGAACATGGCACGTCTATGCATTCACGACCTTGAAACCAGCTCAGCTCAGCTCAGCTAGCCTAGAGCCTAGGAACTCACTGACACTACCAGTACAAAACCCTAAACCCTGCACCCCGAACCCTAAGACTTATGCAAGCCTGTACATGCGAAGAATGAGAATTGAATAGATGACTAGACCTGCAGGCGAACGCCCTTGCCCTTCTGGAAAGGTGCCTGCCTAGCTTTTTGGTTTGGCTGGCTTCGCCATGTTTTCGAGACAGATTCAGAAGATGGGTACATATGGGCACCTATTCCATCGCCTTCTGAAAAGACCCTCGTGGGGTTCAAGGGTTCCTGTTGCCAAATCACATGAAGAAGTGCGCAGCCATGGGGGTGCCCCGCGCCCACTCGGGGAAATGGTGCTGGTCGAGCCCCTTCACGAACCTCATCGGACAAGGGGCCAGTCTTGCGGTTCGCGGCCCAGGGTGGTCTGTGGAAACATAGCTTTCGATCGAAATGTACTTAGTAATGTTTCCGACGGGAAGGAATTAATTAGAACACAGTTTAACGCACAGCTCTTCCTAAACTGCTGACCTATCAATGGTACTCCCTTCGAAACCCCAAATAAACTGCAAACCCTACATAAAAACCAACGTCGAGGGTACGCTCCACTTAAACACATGGGGGTTTCCGACACTTAGGGTACCCTAAAATAGTACCCTGAATATAGGATCCTCATTATTGGGACCCCAAAATAAGGTACCCCTCATTTTCGGAGACTCTAACTAAACCCTTATAGAGCCGTTTAAAGGAACCCTCATAGTATTCTTATAAGTAACCCTTTAAAGGAACCCTAAGGTACCCCCCAAATTTTCGGAAACTCCCACATCATCCAACGCACCTCGATTCCGAAGCAGGCCCTCCCCCCATTCCACCACGACCCATTGAGGGATCTACTTAAAGGGTCATGGGACTTAGTAACTAGGGGAGGGGTTGTAATTAAGGTAACTAGACTTAGAATTACTTATAACCCCAATTAGGGTACTTATAACCCTATATACCTACTAAGTCCCATGATCCTCCAAGTAGCGGACCGAAGCCTAACAGGACAAGGGTTTCTTTTTCAAGGGGTCTATAAGGGTTACTTTAAGGGATCTATAGTAGAGTTCTATAATATAGGGGCCTTAAAACATTGGAATAGGCTTTTGGGACCCATTATACTATAAATATATAATAAGGAACCCGCAAGAAATAGTATAGTTAATTAATAGGCGCCTATGTGTGTTCAAACCAGCTTGCTCGAAGGGCTTCATTCTTGGACGGAGCAAGGGCGCTGGGTAGACATTCTCGTCCAAAAACCTCGACATCAAATCCAGTGAGGCCAGTACGGTGCTGTCGTCTCGTGAACAATCGAACCTCGTACCGAACACTTGAAACCCACAACCCTGGTTCAAACCCTAACCCTCAACTCAATCAGCCTGGTCCGTAAGCCCTACTTGGAGGGTCGGGCGACTTAGTAAGTGGATATTTTAGAGACTGATAAGTACCATAACCCCAAATAGGGTCCCCCTACTAAGGCACTTATACGTCTACTTATAACCTACTTACAAAGTCCCCCGACCCTCCAAGTAATTACCCCTATAAGTCAGAAAATGTGGCACCTGAAATCCGATGTTCCGGCGGTAGGATCAACTGAGAAGCCCTCAGAGCCTTGAAGGATCTAGAATGTAACCCCGAATGAAATGCCCCACCCTGGGTCCTAAACGCTAAACCCCAATTCGCAAAACTTGGGCCATTTTGGCGGGCTCCCTTGAGGTAGATGAACATCCCACAACCCGACAAATCAATCACGATGTTACCGATACCCAAAGGACTCGAAGACACCTTACCACAAGACAACCCTGCACCTATAACCGATTGACTCACGGCCCCGATCATGAAAATGGGAGTTAGGATTAGGGGGACCCCTGGGGATATGGAAAGAAGCCAGACGCAGGGTTGAGAAGGGTCCCCTTTTAAGGTGTCTCCCTGATACTACCTGGGAGAGAAAAACAAATCTTCTGGACGAGCTGCTCACCGAAGGTCACCGAACCAGGAGGAAGCCGGTCTAGTGTCTGGCTACCTCAGGCAGTAGTGTATAGGAATATCCGATGTGTTTGGATTTTTTTTGGCCGGGGGGGGTGAGGTTAAGAAGTTCTTTGGGTTCTGGGTGGAAGGATGAGCATTTAGGATGGATGTTTTCGCTGTCCTGCGCTCGCTCCTTCCCTTCCTCCCTGCCTCCCTCCCTACCTCTCTCCACCCTTGTTCTTGCCTTCACGGGCACAGACCAGGCGCACCCCATTTCTTCACATGTTTCAAGGTCCCGAGTTCCTCCGAATCCGCCGAAGACTAAACATCAGCGCTGGATGACAACCGGACCTTGGGTACGGCCCCCACCCTGTGACAGTTGGAGAAGATGTGTAATATAGTTATATAGAGCCCTTAATTCGGTAGATGATATAAATGCTGCATTACCTTAGTGACCCTTGACTACAGGAATTATGGTATCTTCCTTCCTATGGGTGATGCAGGATCTGTATCATCGACCGTATGACCCCTAGCATAGACTTGTTACAGGGCCCAAACTAGAGCGGAACTGGCGTAGCAGTTGGGGTTCAGGGTTTAGGGTTCAGGGTTTAGGGTTTCAGGGTTTTGGTTTTAGTGTTCATGGGTTTAGGGTTGAGGGTTCAGGATGTCAGGGTTTGGGGTTCAGGGTTTAGGGTTCAGGGTTTAGGGCTTTGCGGTCAGATTTCCGCAGCTCTGCCTACCACAGCACGCAGAGAGACAGAGAACAAAGGAGCGGTCGCTGTAGGCATCACAGCCCACAACCCCGCACCCTAACCGAAACCTCCGGAATCCTAAACTCCCAAACCCACTCAAAATCCCCCACACCCTTGAAGCTAATGGAACCCTGAACCCAGAACCCCAAAACCAAAACCCCCTCAAGCCTTTGACCTCTGTGAGTATGTGTTTCCCAGAGAGCCCGATACCCCTTAATTAAGGAATCTGGCTTAAATTATGTAGGGCTTCATATTATGATTTAGGCTATTTCCTTAACTAAGGGGTATTGGGCTCTCTGGGCTTGGGCTCTGTGAGTATGTGCTTCGGGCTTTGCGGCCGGAGCTGCTAATCTGCCAACCTGTTTCCTGAGCTCTTTCGGATTTAGGGTTTAGGTGGCTCAGGGTTCAGGTTTAGGGGAGTAGGGTTTAGGTTTAATTAGGGTTTACGTTTCAGGGTTTAGCGCTCTTCCAGATCTTCCAGTACACCTGAATTCAGGAATATATGCCTTAGCATATAGTCGGTGCCCGGATATGATTTAAGGCATCTTGATAAACACCAAACCCTGAACCCCAAAACCCTAAACCTCGTACTCTTCTAGACCTAAGAGTAAAATAGGAACAAAAAGGGTGACCTTTTTGGTATAAACGGTGTTACCCTAAACTGAACCCTAAAAAGGGAATGAGGGCTTACTCTGGGTCCTAGTCTTCAACTCAGAGATTTTGGAAGATCTGGGCTCCAAACAACTTTGCAGGCTCAGGCCTTCAGGGATCTCTGGAAGAGGACCTGTTGGCCTTCGAGGGTTCCTTACATAGCTAGTTGAAGGGCAAAGGATATTCTGTGTCGGTCGGTATATGGACCATGAGTGAAAGCGAACCCTCTCGCCCTCTGCTTCGCAATTTATAATTTGCACCATCACGCAATTTCTCCGTCATGCCAAACTCCATGAACGGATTAGGGTGTAGGGTTTGCCACACTTCAGCACAGGGAGCTGTGACCTTCGGTCGGAGTTCATTGAAACTTACGTACAGGACACCGGAGTGCGACGAACGACCGGACGCACGTGTAGAAGTCAAGTAAACCTCTAGGGGCACTTCACGGCCCTACTGGTCGGGTATCATGGGGAACTGAAGGTTAACCTTTTTGGGTATATAGGGATTACATAGGGGCTATACTAACACAAAAAACGCTAAAGGTTACCTACTAGGCAGCCCCAATGAACATCTTGCGCAACTCCCTCCTGAGCACCATTTGGTCCGGATCAGCGACGAAAGGAAAACCTCAACCCCACGGTACCTAGCCGAGACTCGAGACAAGTAAGCTGCAACGCCGGCAAGAAGAGGAGGTGCGTTGTGAAGGCACCCTTGGGTTGTAGTCAATTGCAGTCTTTAAAGGTCGATATAAGGTCCAGGTCAGGGTCAAGGGATGTTGGAGCCGTCTGGGGTTTCGGGTTTAGTGCCAGGATTCAGGGTTTAGTGCTTGGGGGTTTCAGGCTTCATTTGGTGCTTGGGATCTAGGGCTTAGTGAGTGCTGCATAATGAGGGTCCAAAGACTTGCCAAGTTAGGATATGCAGACTATTCCGAATCTATTGCAGAAGTCGATGTGCCACAGCTTGTAGTTTCACGAAGACAGACTTGTCCATTAGAGCATCATGAGCCGATCGAGCCACTCAGCATACAGGAAGTAGATGGAAGTGGATTTACTCCTGCGAAAGCGTTGTCTTTTTGGCTTTGTGTTCTATCAAGACTCTGTGAGTAAGCCCGCATTGTGTTGTATCCCTTCCAACCCCAACCCAAACTCTTAAACCCTGAACTCGAAACCCTAAATCCCTAAACCTTGTAGATCCCTTATTAACGGATCCTAACCCAAAGCCCTGAGCGCCCAGTCCAAAGTCTGATTCCCCAAACAAATGCAAAGCCTGCTTCAAGGCTCATGGGAGTTAGTAACTAATTGAAGGGTCATGGGATTTAGAAAGCAGGCATATAATGAAGTTAGCTATACTTGTAATGTCTTATAACTCCACACTTATAACCCTACTTACTAAGTCCCGTGATCCTCCAGGTAGGGTCTATACGCATGAATTACTTGTAACCTCAACCAGGGTACGCATAACTGCACTTACTACGCACCATGAACCTCTAAGTACCCAAAGGGTCCTATGTACCTGTATGGTAGAATGTAGGGTTTCTATATTAGGAATTACTGTTATGATCCAGGGGAGTATCCCCCATAACAGTACATAGGACGCTTTGGGGTAGACTCTAAACTCTTCAGCCTGCATGGATCCCAATGGGGTCACACGTACATAATAGACCGCAGAGGCTTTCGCAAGGAGAGTTTCATTAGAATCTGCTCTGAATCCACGGCTGCCAGAAATTTTAATCAATGTGTCATACATATGCTTGTTGACGTGACTATGTAGGATCATCCTGGCTTCAAACTCAGGACGCTGCACGTTTTCTCAACAGACCTTCCCTAGGTGCTTTCGAAAGTCGCAGTCGGGTTTCAACTGGGACCACAAAACAAAGCTGTAGAGGTACCCGTCCCAAAGCAAAGCAAAGTCCTATCGTAGCACCGAAACCCCAAAACCTGCCGAAAAGCGCGCGGCCTGATACGGACGTGTCCCTGTGGATCCCCTTACTTTAAGGAGCTCTTTGGATCCCCTTACTTTAAGGAGCCCTTTGGATCCCCTTACTTTAATGAACCCTTTGGATCCTAAGGAACCCTTCAAGTGACGAAGTCCCGGAAGCTCTAAGTAGACTCCAGACTCTTCAACCGCCATGGATCCCTATGGATCCCCTTTGGAGCCCCTCTAGGGAACCCTTGACTAAGTCCCAGGAAGCTCCATCTGCCATGGTGCCGATTGGACACAAGGAGTGGTCGGAGCAGGAAGCACAGGCGTCGGCGAAGAGATGAACCTGGGATTAGGGCTTAGCGTGAGGGTTTAGGGTTTAGCGGTTTAGCGTTAGGGTTTAGGGTCAGGTGTGCCGTCGGTTTAGGGGAGGTCAAAGTTTTGGGGGATTTAGGTTTAGGGTGGGGGGTGGGGGGGCGGGGGGGGTTAGGGTTGTGGCTTTGGTAAGAGTGTTTATTTTTTTTGTTGTGGGTGCTGTTTTGCTGCGGGTGCGCGGCGCGTTTGTTTTTTTTGCTGTGGGTGCGCGAGCTCACTCACTCACTCACTCGCTGCCCGCCGCCCGGAGAGCACCAACAGCAAAAAAGCACCCACAACAACAAAAAACACGGGTTCCGTTCACCAAGCATTTCTGACCGAACCATCTACTTGAGGACAGGACGGCTGGAAACTCTATGCCTGCGGGCTGAGGGCGAACTAGACGAGCCCGACGCCTATCAAGGCCTAGACGCAAAACTGAAAGGAACAAAAGCATAAAACCCTGTAAAGCACCCCCCCCGTTGAAGCAAAACTTAGGGGAGCCCTAAACCCTAAGAAGAAAGGACCGACGAGAATACCGAGACGACTCGTTGAAGCATTTAAGCCCTGCAAGGAGGGTTTAGGGCTCCTTTAAAAGGCTGCCTGAAGGGGTTTAGGGTTAAGGGCTCCTGTAGAGGAACCCGTACAGGGAACCCCATTATAGAACCCTACAGTACCCTCAAACTTGTCGGATTCCTTCAAGGGTTGTCTAAGTGTTCGTGCAGGGTTTTGAAGGTTAAGGGTTTAGGGCTCAGGATGGTTTAGAGTTCGGCTTATCAACCGTATGGCCCAGCTTCGTTGCTAAAACGAAGAAGGAAGTGAAACGTCTGAGCACCTAATGTCAACATGCCCATGGTTCCGGATGCCTGTGTTCCGTACAGAGATAAAGCACTAAAGCGGGAACCGACAACGAGACAAATGAAGCTGCAACAAAAGCAGACCCTAAACCCTAAACTCAAAACGGTTGGCAAGATCGCACATCAGATGCCTGGCAAGACAATAACTTCGACTCACAGAACTAGGGTATTGGGGTACTTATCCCTGTACTTACTACGTCCCATGAACCTCCAAGTACCCTCACAGAACTCTTAGGGTAGCCTTACAGAAACCCTATCATACCCGTTTAGACTATACTGCAAAAGAACCCTTTGAGCTACTAAGCCCCATGAACCTCCAAGTAGCTCAACATTCCGACGGAAATTCGAGAGTTGATTGTCGTTGAAGATTGGCGCCTTCCACTGGCGGCAAGCGGGATCTCTGGGCTTTGGTGCAAGGCTTAGCACCAACTGGGAGTTTCCGAAAATTAGGGGGGTACCGTATTTTGGGGTCCTCATAATCGGGATCATACTATTTAGGGTACTATATGAAGATCCCCCTATTTTCGGAAACTCCCAACTGGGCATTCGGCATAGATATAAACTCCAAAGTGTCGATGGGCAGGACCATCGAAGTTAAGCAAGTAAGCAATACTTGCCTAAGAGTATCCCAGCTGGACCTACCCTAATTCGCTAATGTCCTACTGCTGATGGACACAATCCTGCATTACCCATTATAAGGAATAAACCATAGTTCCCATAGCTTCGAGTCCTTAGGGTCATGCAGGATTTTGTCCATCAGCCGTATGGCCTACTACTTGCAGAGCCTGAAGACCTTAAACCGCAGAACACCGAACAAGCAAAAGCACTAAATACATGAACACCACAGCAGCCCTGAATGCCCCTACAGGGTTTAGAGTGTAAGGTCTAGGGTTTAGGGTTTAGAGTTTAGGGTCCAAAAACACACAAAACCTGAACCCTTAAGCAGGACCCTCGGGCTCTGGGTTCGTCAAGAGAGAATGCACGCCAGTATGATGCTTAACTTCCCAGACCCCAGGGGGAATCCAAAAAGTAGAACCCCTCAAATGGGACACTATACGACTAAAGGGTACTTTACAGGAACACCATTAAGGATCTGCTGTCTGGATTCTAGATCCACCCGAGGGTTTGGGTTTCGCGTGAACGCCGAAGTCGTCAGCTAGTTGATGCGTCATGTGCCGCACGACACCGGAGCTTCAGGAAAGAAGGGTTTAAGGTGAAAACAAAATAGTAGGATCCCGAGTTGCCTTGACCTCGACTTCACACATCAAGACAGGAAATCTGGGCGGGGCACTACTTGAGGATCGTTGAGCTTCGTACTTCTGCTGCTGCCGAGTATCCGCCATAGGACCCGCCTTTACAACGCTACCCACGATGCCAAAAGAATGCATCCAAGTACGAGAGAAGAGTCCCTAAGTGTGAAACAACTATTGTGGTGTCGGGTTCAAGGGCTAGAACCCTCAACCCAGAACCCTAAACCCTAAACCCCAAACCTCTGAGAGCCCAGAAGCCCTTGATGAAGAAATATACCTTGACAGCGCACTCATGAGATAAGTCGCCAGGGTCAAGGCCGGATCGGAGCAGCGAAAGGCCTGCTGCTGATATGGTTTAAAAGCCTCGGGTTGGTGGGGTTGAGGTTGAATTCGGGCGTTCAAGCGCGATATGGTTTCAGGATTCACGATTTGGGGGTTTCGAGTTTAGGTTCTTCTTGATCGTGAGGATGCTGAGGCGCTGAATCAACATGTGCCGTTCAGATTTGTGTCTCTCGGAACACCTCACACAAATTCTCCGGATAGGGAACGGCCCGTGAATGATCTACAATGCCAACAACTCCTCAAATTTGAGAAACACACAACCCACAGCCCTAAACCTCAAAGCAATGAACCCCACAACCCTACCAAGACTTGCCAAAACTCAGCAAAACCCCTGTTCGCCTATAACCATACAGAGCCCTGGTATAAGCGGTATCAGTAAGCCCTGTATACGAAAGCGTGTGTCTTCTGCTCCCCTATGCTCTCAACCCAAATTCTTCTGCCCGGCTTTAAGCAGCCTGTCCCAGAGGGTCCACAGATAATATCATTGTGGACACCATTATGGAACTAGGTGCCCCAAAACAGAATGGGGATGGTGCTATGGGTTCTGCAAGTTTAGAGAGCGTGCAGGCGGCTTTATACGGGTTGCAAGAAAGGGTTCTTTAAGATCTATAATCATTAAACGCGGTAAGATGGCTCAATGAAGGGGCGCCTCTTTGATTAAGCGTACATATCTAGCTTTCCACAGCTTTTCGCAGGAATCTGCAAGAAACTAAGCAAAACCTACGATAAGCTAAGAGAAGCTAAGAGAAGCTAAGAGAAGCTAAGAGAAGCTAAGAGAAGCTAAGGGAAACTAAGATAAGCTACGGGTTTCCTGTATTGAAGTATGCCCTGGGGTCGGACCAGCTAAGAAAAGCTACCGGTTTCCGGTGGCAGAAAGTGCCCTTGAAGGGGTGGTTGTTATTAATATTGATTGCTGGCAGTCGCAGGCGGGCTGTGACATTCTTTTTCTGCCGGCAATCCACAGCCGATCCGTCGGTCAGAGCGCCTGCAACAAAGAAGCTTTGGGGTTATTGGGGGTATCGATATTAGAGTTTGGGTTTGAATTAGGGTGTAAGGTTAGGGCCAACACAATAATCATCCAACATTTGGGCTAGTAAATAGGCACAGCCCTGCTCGCCAAAAGGCCTGCTAGAGTGTTAATGTAACTGGCTTCGGGCTTAGAATTTAAAGGCCTAGGCTAGGGTTTCGACAGTGTAAGGATTCTAAGACATTTTGACAAACATTCAGCACACTCATACAGTGACACACACACACACACACAGTCGGCACCCCTTGCCTTGGCTCGGACTGATGTCCCTGGCCCTTGAAGGCAGGGAGCGAAAAACACCCCTCTCGCCCACCGGACCCACCCACAGCTCCTGCCTCAGGCTGAGATGCCCGCAGCGACAAAGCAAGCAAGACTAGATACTAGCCAAGACTCGTCGAGGAACCTTCATCCTCACTGGAGGGCTCGTCATCATCAGGCGGCCCATTGCCATAATCATAGGGCGGCTGCCATTGCCAAGGCCTCTCCCTGTTCATATGACCATAGACAGGAAAGTCGGGGGGCAAGCTTCGCTTGCCCGGTACTCCTTTGGTGCGGAGACTGGGCATGGTGCCCAAGAATCTAACAGGCTGAGCCAAAATTGGGCCTAAATTCAGCGAGTATCTCAGCCCTCAGCATACAACACCTGTTGCAGGTTGCAACGCCTCAGAAATGGATTTCTCCAGAGCATCGTCAGAGGATTCCTGGTTTTTTTTAGAAGATCACAGATCACCATGGAATGAATATCACGGAATGCCGAGTTTTCAACAATGGAATGTCACAGACTACCGGGTTTTCAGCAAAGGAATGTCATAGAAAACCAGGTCTTCAACAAAGGAATGTCATAGAAAACCAGGTTTGCAGCGGAGGAGCTATCTAGCTCCCTTACTCGTGCTCCGAGCCCAAAGAGGGACCCCATGATGGAGCCATCCTATTGGTACTCCAGATATAATAGGGTTTAGGATTGGGGACCCGAAACACTCAAAAGGATCCAACAAATAGAAACCCCTCAAAGGGGTCTCTTACCCTTCGCTGGCCCATGATAGGCTTTTCTTGTTGGGGGGGGCTCCTCCCGGTGCTATGGGAAGGGGCTTGCAGACTACAGCACATTTTCGAACCTACAAACAGCTTCCCACGATTGCTTCAGTTAACGGAAACGTACATCATTGAAGGTGGTGCCCGGGGTTTGGTGGTTGAGGGAGTCTGGGCTGTGGCGGGAGGGTGTAGGTGACCTCGCTATCGTCAACGGCACTGCAGGCTGAGTTCGCATTGCCTTTGCTGTCCCCATGGCCGCGTCACATGTCGAATGAGACAGCTCAGTCGCCAAGCAGACATCTTGTTCGAGAGGCGAGCGACAACTTCTGAGCCCGTTTCATAGCGTCCGCCTGGGCCATAGTGCGAAGGTCAGCAACCAACACGCAGCCAGTACCAGTGCAAAGCTTCTGCTGTTGTTCCAGTCCAGGGGACAATGCCCAAGGCTTTCCGTCTTGTTCATACAGAACCCTCGCCTATAGGATCACCACGGTAAGTTTCCACAACGGTAACCTACCTAAAGTTTAGGAATCGTGTCTCTTTGTTCAGCATACCTTGGCTACTGTATCTATACGGCCTAGCTAGCTTGACTCAGGGCTTACTTACTTGCTTGCTCGGACCTTGCGGAAGAACGGCACCAGCGGAAATTGCTGCAAGATTTCCACGATTTGCCGATTCCTCGGGAAGCAAGACCAGTCCGAGATCCGCAGCATCAAGAAACGACTGCTCAGTGAGAGCTCACTGTGTGGCTCAGGAGTTTCGGTTTCAGAAATGAATTCTCCAAACCACAGAATCTAGACCCAAGAGTAACCTAGGAATAAAAAGGGTGCCCTTTTTGGTTAAAAGGGGCTTATAAGGGAACCTGAACCCTAAAAAAGGGAATAAGGGCCTACTCTAGGTCCTAGGAATTCTGTTTCGAGTTTAGGGTCGAGGTTTTCGAGTGCCAAGTGCGAGGATTCCTGCCTCTCGGGTCTTGAGATCTCAACTTGTGTGCTTGACTGCGTAGGCTACTTGGCTGAAATAGCTTAAGCCTTGTGGGAACCTAGTTACTGACGAAGCAGTAGATATGAGTAGTTGTCAAAATTATGGTCCGTATATTTGTACCCTAAATAATAGGTGCCGTATTATAATAAGGACCCAAAAAGGGACCCTAATATAGGCAACCACCCCAGTGAAAAAGCCTATCGAAACCCAGAAGCTTCGACCGAGTCGCTGGTACACAAGCCGCCAGCCGCCGTTTCCGAAACGACCTCGGGTGATATCCTGGTCACGGTGTCAAAACACGTACATAAGGGTTCCTTTAAAACCTGATAGATTTTAGGCGTTTCAAAGCGGAATATTTCCGGGGTGTGAGGTTTTCGGGCTAAAGGAGGTTAATGTTGGGGGGTTGAAATTGATGAGGGCTGGGGCTGAAGGGTTTGGGGGTTGACGGTTGGGGTTTGGGGAACCATAAACCCTAAACCCGAAGACTGTACAACCCTAAACTCGAAACCCTAAACCCCTAAACCTTATAGATCCTTTATATATAATTAAGGGATCCCTTAAAGGAGCCCTTAACGGTAAATCCTGAATGTGCGGGGTTTACGGTTTAAGGCTGAGGGCGATCGGGAAGCGCGTCGCTCGAAGTGCACTAGAACATGCCTTGAGGGTTTAGGGCTTTAGGGCTTAAGGCTTAGGGTTTTAGGGTTTAAGGTGTAGGGTTTAGGGCTTTGGATTTCAGTTGGGGCTTAGGGCTTGGTTGAAAGGTTTAGGATCTGCAGAGTTTAGGGTTTAGGGCTTGGGGCTTAGGGCTTAAGGTTTAGAGCTTTGGGAAAAGAATGCGCATCAGCGGGCCACAAGCCAAAACGCAAGTGCATCATCTGCTTGCTGTTGTTTCGGTACCACAAAGAACCACTCGCAAACTCTGAACCCTGCCTTAACCCCCATGTGAACCTAGCCAAAGGGTGCAATGGATGGAATTTAGGATAGATAGTAGCTAACGTGACAGAGAGGGAGACAGAGAGAGAGAGAGAGAGAAAGAGACGGAGACACCGACAGAGAGAGAGAGAGAGAGAGAGCCAGATAGATAGACAATGATAGACGGACAAGTATAGACCTCAAAATCTAAGTTTACAACAAGAGGCACCCAAATCAACCTTGGCGAAAAACCGTAACAACTCTAGGTAATTTAATTTTGGTGGAAACTTTAAACCCAAAAACCTAAACCCCGAAACCCTAAACCCTAAAATCCTAGACCCTAAAACCCTAAACCCTACACCCCTAAACCCTAAAACCCTAAACCACCAGAAACCGCCGTCCTGCGAAGTTGTGGGGTACCATTCCACTTTGTCAGGGCTCCACTGCCAGGTACCACCAGTCCTGGGCTAAACCCTGAACCCGGAACCCTACTTGGAGGATCATGGGACTTAGTAAGTAGGGTTATAAGTACCTGAATTGGGGTTATATGTGCTCGTAAGTATAGCTACCTTAATTATAACCCTAGTTAAAAAGTCCCATGACCCTTTAAGTAAACCCTGAATTTAGGTATACCAGGACCACCGCCAAGTACCCGTCGATAAAGCCTTTACGGTCCCTAATAGCGGGAATTTGGGGCAATCACCATAGAGAGTAGTCGGAGTTTCTATACTATACGTACACCCTGAACCCGAAACTCCAATCCTCAACCCGAAAACCTAAACCCCAAACTCCACGCTTCCAAGCTTTCTAGGTCTGGGTAGGGTTTACGGATGTTTACTTTGAGGGTCAGGGGACTTAGTAAGTAGTTATTTTGGTGACTTAGCAGTATCATAAGCCCAATTAGGATCCCTTTTAGTGGTACACATAAGTCTACTTAGTACCAAGTAGGGGTATTCAATCTAAGCCGAGTCACACCTGGCCACCCAAAGGAGGCGAGTTCTCGGCTCCTGCTCTTTACTGAGTACTTAGGAATAGAGTTCCTTTCAAGTGCTCTTATGGGAGTTTCCGAAAAAGAGATGTTCCTTACTCTGGGGGTCCTTATATTATAATAAGGATCCTACTATTTAGGGTACTGTATTAGGGTCCCCTATTTTCGGAAACTCCCATATAAAAGGGGTCTGTAAAGGTTTCTGTAAGGGCTCTACGATACAGGTGCCTCTAGAATTTTAAACAGAGCTCTGGGCCATATTGTAGCATGGTTGCGAGGGCTTACCAGGGGCGTCTATATTGCTCCAAAATCGGATTTTCAAATTTTTGGGTAGTAGGTTGACTTCTGTTGCGGGTTTAGAAGTGCTCGGTGCGATGCTTGCTTGAGGATTTGACCGCATAACAATAGGGTCTACGGGTCCAAGTACTCAGATAGTAGGGTTTTAGGTGATTACCCAAAAGAAGATGGAACTTGGGACCTGAAGACCTACTACTTGGATACTTGGACACTTTGGGTCAGTTAGGGATATGGTGGCAGCCGCAAAGTTGGAAGATGCGCACCCAAAATTCCAGCACCCCACAACTGGAATAAAACACATCTTCCAACCTTGGATTCTTCCAAGTTTGCAAACTTCCAACTTTTGATTACCGCACGAACCGCTCCAAATGCCGGGGACCTAAAGTTGGAAGATGGGACCAAGTCAGACCCAATAGTTAATTGCAGTTTCTCCCTCTCTCTCTGCAATACTGGAGTAATTGAAGTTTATCTCCCTCTGCAATATGGTAATTGCAGCTTCTCTCTTTCTGCAATACTGCAGCGGTCGTAGTAATTGCAATTTGTCTCTTTCTGCAACACTGGAGCGGTCCCAGTAATTGCAGTTTTTCTCTCTCTGCAATATTGGAGCGGTCGTAGTATTTGCAGTTTTTCTCCTTGTGCAATACTGGAGCGATGGTAGTATTTGCAGCTTTTCTCCTTGTGCAATACTGGAGCGATGGTAGTATTTGCAGCTTTTCTCTTTCTGCAATACTGGAGTGGTCGTAATACTTGCAGTTTTTGTTTTCTCTCTTTCTCTGCAATACTGGAGCGGTTGTAGTAATTGCAGTTTCTCTCTTTCTACAACACTGGCGCGATCCTAGTAATTGCAGTTTCTCTTTCTCTGCAATATTGGAGCGGTCGTTGTAATTGTCGTTTCCCTCTCTCAGCAATACTGGAGCGGTCGTAGTATTTGCAGATTTGCTATTTCTGCATTACTGGAGCTGCTTCCCCCAAACCGAAAGTTGGAAGATACCGTTACCGCATCAACCGGTCCAAACGCCGGGACCTAAAGTTGGAAGATGGGACCAAGTCAAACCTAAAGTTGGAAGATGCCGTTGCCGCATCGACCGTTCCAATTGCCGGCTTCCAACTTTCCGGCGGCTACTGTAGGGTGAGTTAGGAATAGGATACCACTGCTTCGGATGCTTCATTAATAAAAGCGTCGCATCCGTTCTGCACTCCCGAGGTTTACTGCCCAAGCTTGGGATGCGGGGATTTGGGGTGTAAGGGTTTAGGGTCTAGGGGCTTCCGGTTAGGGGTTTAACATTAAGAATGTAGGGTGTGGACTCCTCTCATATAGAGGATCACAGGACTTAGTGCTCATGTCAGAAGTCAAAGTTGTTGGCGGCAAGACAATCCTGCCCCGGTTCTGCAATCGCCGTTTCTCACTGCAACACGCTGAGGGGAAAGCAAGCAATGATGAAACACCCCGAAAAATACCAGACTACTACTGGAATCGGGTTGAACCCTAAACAGTTTCACGTGGACTCTTGCTTGACATCCTTTAGGGGGCCACCACTCCCAGAAACCTTGGCTCCCAAACCCCGCGACAAAATCAACTGCGAATCCCGACCCAGAACTTCGGGAGGATCTACAACATAGAACGCCTAAACAAAGGACTATCTCAAGTGACACTGGTGGAAAATGCCTCCTCGAAAGGGGTTTATGATTCTTTAAGGGCTCATGGGATTTACCACCCCAAACCTCTGAACCCTAAACCCTAAGCCCCAAACCTCCGCAGTGGCGGTAGTGGACCGGTGTAGCTCCGCGGCAGTGGAACCTCGGGATGAAATGATCCCACTGCTCTAAAGACTGAACAGGGTGTGGGGTAGAAGTACGGTTCCATGCGATTCCTTTTCGGGCTCCTTTTCAGGGTTATGATAGGGGCCCTGTAAACACCATCTTTAGAGGGGTTTACAGAGTATGGGCATGCGGAGGTTGGGGCATTGAGTTTGAGGTTTAGAGTAGCCTCTGGGGTGCAAATGCCATGCTGCTGTTGAACGTGTGTTTCATCTTCGCACCTTCCGAACACCACAAAGTGCTTTAGGGATCCTAATGGTGAGTGACACAAAGAAATTCACCGTTCTATGCCAGTATGAGTTCAGTGATTTGGCAAGCGTTTCCAAACGAACTCCGCAATCCTCGCTGCTTGCAAGGGAATGTCTTCAGGTGCTGGATCCGCTCAGGGTCCTGAAGAGGACAAACTTGAACCCAAACCCGCAAGCCTCTAAATTGCCCAGAGAGATAGGAGTGAAGGGCTAGGCATACTATATATATATATAATGAAAGAAACCGGCGTTTAAAGGGAACAGGGCAACAAGCCAGACAGCTTAAATGGTCTAGCAAAACAGAAACCCCAAGAAAGGCATCCCAGCGTCTTACGGCGTAAGATAGGCTTTGCTTGGCTCTACTTTACTGACCCTTTGAGCATGCAAGGTAGTTAGCGAACTACTCAGCATCGAGCCTCCACAGTTAAAGGGTGTACAATTCATCGTGCACTTGCAGCATATGCAACACGATAGGTTTGCTGACCGCCCTATAGCAAGCCGAAGACAAGCAAAAGACTGTATAGTTCATGGAGCTGAATAGGTCACTCATCCGGGTAATACACAATACTATCGAAGTTCCAACGAGCCAGCTGGAAGAATACTAAACCCTTCGTCAACGTGTCGCCTATTAGCCGTGTTCATAAACACAAGACTCTAAGCCCACCTTAATCCCGATCCAAGCCCTACCTGATCCCTATGAGGCACCGCAAAGTCTGTTTTAGAGCTCAGGTAGACCCTGAACATCCCTGAACCGCAAATCTAGCTCTCTAGACGCGGTTCCTTGTGAAATGAAAGGGCCTGGCTATTTAGTATAGGGCTCCATGACACGTTATACTCTAATAATACAGGGCTTGAAGGGAGGTACACTACAGCATATTCAGGCCCCCACACTCAGACGGGAAACGTGAAAATCCCATCGTGTGTGGGCATGGCACCGCTGGAAATGCCAAACCTTGCAATGACACGTGCACAGCTGAAGAGCCTGGGAACCTAACCACCGGGCATCTCGAGATTTTGGTTCTGTTCTCAGATCTTGCACAGAGCCTAGGAATGGGTGTTCACCAAGACGGCCAGCGTAAACACCCTCAAAGCAAACCTTTCGAACCGTAAACTGAAACCTATAAGTTGGCCCTCGATTGAAAGCAACTGAAAAATGTACATAAGATCCTGTTGAGCCCAACAAGGGAACATGTAACATGTCCCAAAGACCTGCCTAGCAATAGCCTGAAGGCTTTTTAAAGTGCTTTAGATGCCACTTCGGGGTCTGGGAAGTGTAAAGGCGGTACAAATTAGGCTGCGGTCTCTTCATAGTGTTGGAAGGATTACCAGAAGGATTCTGCACGGTTGTATGATGTATCTGCGGTTCAGGATGCTATTCTTGGGCTTGCTGGAGCCAAGCTTCTTGAAAGGTTCTACGGTTTTGAGATTTAGGGTTTCGGAGACGGTCGTTTCTGCAGGGCTCACGATGTTGCAAGTATTCTCCTCTAAGCGGGAAGGAAGATGGACACCTGAACCCGGCGTTGACAACCGTACATGTGGGTGGTTGTCAAAATTATGGTCCCTTTTTGGGTACCTATTATAATACGGCACCTAATATTTATGGTACCCAAAAAGGGACCCTAGTTTTGGCAACCACTCATGTGCCTTTGATAAGAGAAAAAACGAAGGACCTAAAGCCTAAAGAGACTAGGAATCACGAGAGAACCGTCACCACAACTACAACGACTGCAATAACGGCAAGACGAATGACACAACTAGTCGTGAACGAAAATATGAGGAATGACAACAACCACCGCCACGGTAATAGCGACAAGAACGAGCTGGGTTGCACCAATAACTGTCCTCAACTAGAGCGCCGCCACAACATCAGCGGCGGTCACAACGTCCAACAATGGTGAATGCAAAGCACTACTTGGCAAGGACTCGAAAACATAGCAGCGGTTGTGACCATTAAAAAAGCAGCGGTGCCAAACCTTGAGAAGCAGAAGAGAAGTACTCGTATTGCGTGAACAGTCACAATGCTTCTGGTTAGTTAAGCCTCTCATGTGTCTGCCATCCCAAATGCGACAAACCTGGTTATTCACGAAGTGCATAGCGGTATCGTAGGGCCTTTATCCAAGCAGCACTTGCATACTCTCAAACATCAGCCGTACACCTCCACCTCGAGCCCTAAACCCTCAAATGTCTCTCGGCAGAAGAGGGACAAGAAGGCTTGGACCTCCGGGCAGAAATCTCCCCAGGCCGAGATGAAGTGCGGGTCGTCTATCGCCGGTATCAGCTCCTTACATGGGCTCTACTGGAGTTTATGGTTTAGGGCTTTACAGGGAGTCTAAGGTTGAATCTACAGGACATGCGGCTGCGGTGTAGGAGTTTAGGATTTGCAGCGCACATTGAATTGGTCACAAGCTTGCTTACAAGTAACTAAGTAAGCCATACAGAACCTTCCAATCCCGCAACACCCTAAACCCACAAAGCCCTCAGCAACACACCCCGAACATGAGACCCTAAGACCCTAGCCCCCTGTTGAGAGAAAGCCTAAACAATAAAAAAGCGAGAGCCCCAAACTCATAGATATTGTATTTTTACTTCGCGTAGTCTGAGGTACTGAGCTGTGAACTCAGTCGGACGACCTGTGTTTACGAGAAGTTCATGCTTCGACAGCAGAACTATATTTACGATCAAGGAGCCCGTGGGAAACATGTTTGCTTATCCAGACTTCTATGGAACCCTGAGGACAATGATACTGATTATCAGGTTTCTATACTCTTTGGGTGGTGGTTGTCGTTGTAAGGTCCGCTTTGAACGCGGCACTGCAGCAAAACTCTGAATAGACTGAGTCGAACAAGTGTGGAATACTGCAAACTGTCTCAGGACTACACCGGTGCAGGGCCGGGTTGTCGGGATAAGCAACTAAGCCCTGGCTTCCTAACCTCAGCCCTAAACGCAATACCATCAATTTAGGGCTTATTTGTTTATTAGAGTTTCAGGGGTTTAGAGCTTTTGCCGCCCAAGCGCCCCAGGTACGGCCCTCTTCGTCCACGCAGCAGTCGTGAAGGCCATCTGCAGCACCTGGAGCCAGCACTTGTAGCTTCGGGGGATTTAGTAGACTTCTAAGTACCCTAACAGAGATTCTATTTGGGGTTGTGATACTTATAAGTCTATAAAATGACTGCTTACTAAGTCCGCCGGAATAAACGAAGCAGGGTTTAGGGATACTACAGTGCAATTCGGGACACTGTGGGCCTTAACAGCAGTGGAGGAAGAAGAAGATAGGAGGAGGAGGAGGAGGAGGAAGGAGGAGGTGGAGGAGGAGGTGGAGGTGGAGGTGGAGAAGGAAAGGGAGCAGCAGTAGCAGCTGCAGTAGAAGCAGAGGTTGTAAAAATCGAGGTTCTTTCGTGGGGCGTATATTGCAAAGGCATTAAGCATACGGGAGGATTTGTTAACTGTACATACCATTGCATTGTTGGGCCTGGGAGCAAACATGAACATGCGCAACGCGCCCTTGCGTCAGCCGTACTTAGAACTACCAATCAAGCGCAGCTGAACTGTGCACTCCTGCCGGGGTCTGGAAGAAAAATGGCATCATTCACGCTGCCCCTAAACCAAAAACCCTAAACCCAAAACCCAAAACTCTAAACCCAAAACCCAAAACCCTAAACCCAAATCCCACAACCGTAAACCCTAAACCCTAAACCCAAATCCCAAAACCGTAAACCCTAAACCCTCAAGAAAGTGATAAATAGAAATTGCTTGTCTTTGTTTGTAGCCACAGCTGCGGCCCAGCACCCCAAACCCAAAATCGAATTTTCTAGATAAACCAATTTCTCTAAAACCTTCAACCCAGCCAGCTCAAGTCTCGGTGGTTTATTACTTCAATTGACTCGACCCCTCCTTCGGTTCATCACCTCGATTTACTTACACTCCTCAACCCGCCTCGGGGGCTCAACTCAATTTACTTAAACCCTTCAGCGACTGGCAAGCTTTCCCTGCCCTGCCCTGCCCTGCCCCTACCCCTGCCCCCAGCAGCCAGCACCCAGCAGCCCAGCAGCCCAGCAGCCCAGCAACCCAGCAGCCTTGATGCCCGTTCAGATCAGAACTGTATCTCGAGCTGCGCCCACCCCCAACCCCAGCCTCTCTCGCGGCCCAGCACCCCAGACCCAAAATCGAATTTTTTGTAACAATCAAGCGAGCGTTGCCTTTGCGTTATCAGTGCACTGAGCCAATGTCGTGGTTGGCATTTTCCAGAGCAAATGCCGGCAATGTCGAGGTACTCTGCACGTTCAAGCCGCAAACAAAGTGTGCACAGCCCACCAGTCCAGTCCAGCCCGCCCCAGCAGCCCCCCAGCCTCAGCACCCTAGCACCGCAGCCCAGCCCAGCCCAACCCAGTCCAGTCCAGCCCAGCCCCAGCCCCAGCCCCCCTCCAGCCCAGCCCAGGCCGCCCACCCCAGCCCAGCCCAGCCCAGCCCAGCCCAGCCCCCAGCCCAGCCTGTTCATCCCAGCCCGGCTTCGCTCCCAGCCAGCCAGCCCCCCCCCCACCCCCAAAACATTATCCAAAAAAAAACGTTTCGGTCAAAACGTTTCGGTCAAAACGTTATTGGCACCGAAACCCTTGACAAAAGTAGGCAATGTGCTCCCACGTGTGTGGTATGTATGTGTAGGTGTGTGTGTGTGTGTGTGCCACACTTCACACTTCAAAAGCTCCTGTCATCTCACATCATCCACGAGCTTCGCGAATTGACCAAGCTATGCAAACAAGCTGTAAGTCAAATCAGCCTGGGCCGAGCCTCCTCACTTAGACTTGTGGGTGAAGCTTAGCAAATGCTGCTTGAAGCTGCGTCTAACGTGATCCCGTTCATCCCATATCAACTTCGCGATGACGCTGATTAGCGGGGCAATATCGTCGGATGAGCTTGCTGACCACATGAGGTGAGACACCGTATGTTGCAACGCTTTTACTTTTGTCCGCCTGCCGTCAAGGTCCATTGAGCAGTGCTCGGCAGCGGCGTTTGGCGCGGCGGGTTCCCAATAACTGCCTCGCGATTGGGGGCGTTGATATAGCTGGGAGGTACCAGGCTTTCCCGATGATGAATTTTTATTCTATCCAAGAAATCGCTTGCATTCAATCATAGCATATAAAATAATCCAACATATATGAGTGAGCAGCAAATATAAAGCTCAGAATATGTATAAAAGAAGCTCACGCAATCACTCGAACTGTTTTGCTCCAAAGTGGGGAAAGGTCCAGTGTGCTGCTCGGCAAACGGCAGGGCTAGGCACACCACATCTTCAAGAAGAAGAAGAACGGGGCCTTGCCCCGCTCAAAAGGGTGGGCTGGGTGGGAAAAAGAATTTCTCGCCTATCACCTCAAGAGGGAAAAAGGCTGCAGGAGAAATTCAATCACCACACAACCGATATGTTGGAAGAAACTTGCAAGCTAATTTTTCTCACAAGAACAATTTTTCAAAAGGAAAGAATAAAGTACCATCCCCTTGTCAAAGATCGTAACGGGGAGTGGGCACTTATTCTATCCAAGAAATCGCTTGCATTCAATCATAGCATATAAAATAATCCAACATATATGAGTGAGCAGCAAATATAAAGCTCAGAATATGTATAAAAGAAGCTCACGCAATCACTCGAACTGTTTTGCTCCAAAGTGGGGAAAGGTCCAGTGTGCTGCTCGGCACCCCAAGTCAAAACGCACTGGCCGGCACATCCCACGGGAGCGTTGCCGAGTCAAGGATTATCGCAGGAGGAAAGCGCTCAAAAGACAGCCTGCTAGGCGCATCTGCTGGATTACTCGCCGATGGGACGCGCGAGTACCAACATCTGAGCTGCAGTTCTTCTTCGACCCTCATGATCGCCGATACAAGTCGCGCACCGACAGAAGTCGCCGCAGAGGACTTGATCAGTGCAGCCTTTGCAGCTTCGTTGTCTACGTAAGCGACAACCTGCCCATGAAGGATCAACTTGCCCCACACTCTCAGAGCTAGAAGCACCGGAAGAATCTCCAGCTCATATATCGGATTCTGAGAATACGCAGTGACTTGAGCCATGAAGCAGTCGGGGACCTTAGCTCCAAAGACTCCTTGTGGCACACCGCTCTCGTTGTAAAGAACTGCAGCGACACTGCCCACACCGCTCTCAAAAGCCCCGTCAGTCCTGCCCCCCCCCCCTTTTCCCTCTCCCGCCGGGCTTTGTGTCAAATTTTGTAAAAACCGAACGAACAAGGTCTTAGCGTCTGCTCTAAACCAAACACAACAATCTCGCATTATCTTGTTCATCCGACGTCAAAGTTGCGGTGACGAGGCCGGTACTCACCACGAGTCGAGGCTCGCGGTGCCCGGGAACCCACGTCGCCACACCTCCGAATGTTTGGACCCCGTTGCAAGTCTCACTAGACATTGAATTTGGCTCCACCGAAATCCAGGCCCCATGTCCAGAACTCCGAGGCTCGGCGAGAACGTCCCAGCCTCGATCCATGTAGTCATAACAAGCAGTGCAACATATAGGTCGAAACGGGCCCGGCTTCTCACGTGTAGCTCTGCTCCTCCATGACTTAGTCGTCCATGGTGCACCAGTCGAAAGTCAAGCACTAAAGTGGACGCCAACAGCTGAAACACGGCTAACGAGCTAGGGACGGCAAAGAACTCGAGGATGCATCGCTAGACCTGGGTCGTGCAAGTTTGTCGACGAATGCAGACATAGTAAGATCGGTCGTCGAGCACCGGGCGGCGGTGAAGCGGTCCAGGAGAAAGGATACGAAGCTGCGTAGCACTGTTATAGGATTCGGGTTCCAATTTGATCGAGGGCGAATTTTGGATGAGAGCCGGACTTGCACGCACCGAGACGGAAGCCACGGCGACCTTGGGTGGGGAACGAGTTGCGGATGAGAGCAGTGAACTGAGCAGCGAGCCGCCACGACAAGCGTTAGGACCATCCACGTAGACCTGAGAACCGTAGACGAAGTTCGGCTTTCGTTAGATTGCTGGACATACCCTAAGCCCTGAGCCTAGTTATACAGCCGAACCGACGGGCATCGGACAACGAAGCAGCTATTCTATGAGGCCATGGGCGGCGCACCTGGAAGCGGGGTATTTTAAGCTCAATCGGGGAGTTTCGCGGTAATCTGGTCTGAAGCCTACGCTAGAAATCCCCTACAAACTCAGAGATGGTTCGCCCCCCTCGTCCCAAAACAGGCTGGGGCATACATCAGGCGTGAGCATTGCAGACTGCCATCGGCTGAGACAGCAAACACAAAGTCAGCAAGGCAGCTCAAAAAGCAGATCGGGGCTCCGGCCAAGGAACTGGAGCCTACGTGGCACAGCGAGCTGCGCTACCCACACGCAGCTTCGCGGGCGCAGTCGACCTAGACGCACCCGCCCAGCTAGAGCCCAGCTGGCCCAACAAGGCAATTACTCGTTCAGTGCTCAGGCAGCACAGGCAGTGTGTTGCACAACGATGATCGGATAAGGCTTGCAAAAGGCATGCCACACGTGAGGCACGAGGAAAAACGCATGTTGCAGAATGAGCAGATGATTTTGACAAAGGGCCCTCAATACGCTTCGGCATTGGCGGCCTGTGCAGATCGGCGCCGAACAAAACACGTCAGCGTGTGTTCAGCGCCCAGGCTCTTACACTAGGAGCTCCGAATCAGACCTACAAGATAGGCATGGCAGTCTACTTGCAGGAGGTCGGCAGCTTTAGCCTTTCGGGGTTTACGATTATCATCACGGACAGAGTATCGCCAGTGATGGGCCTCGGTCGTACCAACAGGGGTGAGGTAATGACCACGATCCACTCTCTCCCCTATATGATACACCACAGCAGCCACAATGAAGGTCTCACGACGGAGCTCAAGGCCCTCAGGCTCAGCAAAGATAGGCGTGACCAGAGGGTCACCAGGCCGCACTCGAACCTGTCGTTGGATATTAGAGTGGTGACCTCTATATCTACCGAACTGCACAAAGACCACCCCACTATGATGCAACAGTGCATGCTTTGCTTCCTGCGAGTGCCAGCAGTCAACCAAGTGCTGAAGTGTCAGCGGCTCATCAGGCGCACCCGT